TGGTGAATGCTTCGGGTAAATTTTTTAAGTTAAAATATCGAAACATGAATAAACTGGTTAATTAAAAAGTCATTTACTTGAAAAATGTTTAGTATTTCTAAATGTTTGAAAATAGTTTCAGTGTGTTCAGAGTATATTATGTGCATAATTTTCTTTTGTATATTCATTATCTTTTGAATTCTAGTTTTATACGTATTACCCCAGATTAGGTTCCCATAAATCAGATATGGATAGACCAGTGCATAATAAACTAGCTTCAGAGTATTAAGATTGGTAAAATGACATATTCTGGAAATGATACTTGATGCTTTTATAATTTTTTTAGAGATTAAATTAATATGTTCTTTCCAGGTTAAGCACTCGTCAATAACAACGCCTAGAAATGTAGTGTCTTTAACTTGCTTAATTATTTGTTCATTTATAGAAATAGTTACATTATGTTTTTGTTTTTTCTTCGATGATCTAAATAACATAAATTTAGTTTTCGCCGTGTTTATAGATAATTTATTTATATTCAGCCAATCCGATATTTTATTGATTTCTATTTGCATTATTTCATTAAGTGTTTTTAGACAGGTATGACTATAAAATACATTAGTATCATCTGCAAATAGAATAATAGAAACTATTTTACTGCAGTTTTGAATATCATTTATATATAATAGAAACAGCAGTGGCCCAAGTATTGATCCTTGTGGGACACCACTTTTTATTATCATTTCATTTGATTTTACATTGTTGTACTTGACGATTTGTTTTCTATTCTCCAAATAATTTTTAAACCATTCTAGACAGTTACCTCTTATACCATAATATTCTAGCTTTTTAATCAGAATCCCGTGGTTAATTGTGTCGAATGCCTTTGATAGATCAAGGAAAATACCTATTGTATATTTCCCTCCATCTATACCTTTTGTAATTTTTTCAACAAGTTCAAGTATTGCAAGTTCGGTTGATCTATTTTTCCTAAAACCATATTGGTGCTTGGAAAGAATTTGGTTTTTATCAATGAAACTAATTAATCTGTTATACATTAGCTTTTCAAGTAGTTTAGAAAAGCAAGAAAGAACTGAAATTGGTCTGTAATTTTTAAACTTGTTATTTTCATCTGCTTTAAAGATTGGTGTTACTATTGCTAATTTTAAATTTTCAGGAATAATTCCATTTACAAATGTTAAATTAAATATATGAGTAAGTGGTTTTGTAATTTCTCCTGCCGATAATTTTATTATCTTACTACTAATATTATCGTATCCTGGACTTTTATTTGAGTCTATGTTTTTAATTTCAGTTCACGGCGGTCGGTTGCTATGCAAAATCCTCCCGGAAGCGCAGGCTCGCATTGTCAGCAGAGTAGCCATTAATAATCAAATTTGCCACCAAAATGTTCAAATATGGCGGCCGGCGATGTCTCTTCGAAGTTATCTAATCTAAACTTAGGCGCGGATAACAATGAAATGGAGAGACCAAAGTATTTTTGGAACCGAGCTTTGGTGGCTACGAAATTTAATTTTGAGCCTACCTGGCTTGACGCAACATGGAAGGCCGAACAAAAACCAAATTTCGGAATGCGAAATTTGCACTAAGCCACGGTTACCGCGGTATTGCAGAATATACACAATATACTCTACCACTGCACCAATATACACTGCATATTTTGTATACATATGCTTCACAGTGTATGCTCATCTACTATACACAATATACATGTGACAAATATGTCTATAGTCAAAACTGTATATTCTCGCTTTTATCAACTTGCTATAGCCTATAGCTAGTCTATATATATTGTGTATATAGTGTATAGACTATGGTATACATATACAAAATATACACAATATACATGCCTATTTAGACATAGTTAAAACTGTATATACTGTATATTCTCGCTTAATTTTATCAACTTGATTGTAAATATTAATGCATGCAGATATATGAAACGTTGTTTTGTAATCAAATATTCTATTACACATTTTAGCACTCAAACCGGTCTTATAGTTATATTTATACCTAGCACAAGTCATAAAGGCATGTTTCATCGTACTTAAAGGAATCCCGCTTTATATACAATCAATGACGCATAGTCATATGATATATAAATCATAAAGGCATATATGTTTCCTCCTTCCTAAAAAAACCCGCTTTATACATTCAGTGACTGACACATAGTCATATATGATACATAAGTCATAAAGGCATGCATATGTTTCCTTGTTCTTAAAAAAATCCCTCTTTATACATAAGACATGTACATGTACTCACTGATATTCACTCAAACACTCCCTATACAGTATACATACTTTAAATTTGACTATATACCGATAATACGTATATTGAGTATATATGTATACACTATTTAGCCTACATACACAGTATACACTGTATATAGCTACTCTTTGACATTCAGTCAAACAGGCAATATGACACTATATATACTCTTTGACATTCACTTAAACACTCACTATTTACATTTCTGACAATATACTGATAAAATATATATATATATATATATGACATTCACTCACTCACTATATATACAACGTACCATACAATTTTGACAATACATTGTCTATTGTGAATATGTATATAGGCTGCAGAATATGCACAATATATCCTACATGTCTATAGTGTATACATATACACAATATACAACCTATTCTGTATATATACACACTATTTACACAATAGACATAAAGTGTAGGCTATATTCTGCAATATCTGGGCATGCTCGAAATAGTAGGAGTTATTTTATATTTTTCATAATAAATACACCTTACGAAATCTTTCGCAGGTATCAGTTACATTAATAATATACCTGAATTCAGTGTCAACACGAATTTTGTGCTCATGCCACATCAATATTAATCAATATCATATTTATGTGGAACACTGCACTGTAAATCAGTTTGAATTACTATGGTACATGAGTGCATGCCAATGAACCATTCACTGATCTGCAAATGAGCTGTATATGTAAATACATAAAGCCGTGGATCAATGGACAAAATATTAGTGTTAAAATTAGCTGTAATTTCAAGAGTCAATCCATAATAGTATAAAATAGCTTTTAACAACAGTATCATGTTCAACTATCTATAGGTCATTGATATTGTTTAGTATATGACGGCCTGTCTGGTTCAATGATAATACAATCGTAATAGGGAATAGTACAATTCTTCTTCCAATTGTCTGAGGTCCTGAACCGTCTGGTTCCCTGCAAACACCATCTGCACGACCTTAAGACCTTGAATAGACTATCTAATATTATTACAGTCATATACAAGTATTATAATAATACATACAATTAAACCTCATATTAACTGAAAATAATTTCACTAACTGGTTGTAGATGCCTGTTCCTCTGTATATTTTGCAAGCTCTTCTAGTTCCTGACTTTTGGACGAAATTTGATAGTCGGCCTGGTTTAAATTTGCTTCCCAACATTGAATTTCCTTCCTCGGACTGATCACTTCAGCTCGACTTGCCTTGAGATTGTATACAGGAGAATTCACCCAGAATTTGCGAGACTGCTTCTCAGAATTACATTTTCCTCTATGATTTGAACTCTTATTACACCTTTTACCTTTTCTGCATGTAGATAATGGGCTGTAAATAGCAATACACATTATAAATAAATGAAAATTAACGATATACTTCGAGACGAAGGAATCCAATATGGCGAACGCATATTGCTATAAATATGCAAATGAAACACGATTTCGAACGAAGTTCCTTACCTATTTCCTGAGCTTGATCCCAGTTTAAATGAAACAAAATAAGATGATTTCCAACTTTGATTTTAGTTTTTCTTCCGAGAATGAGATTTAACAAAGTTATCGCGATTATTCGACGAAAATATGGCGAAATTTCCGGTTTTGTTGAATTTACACGGAATATATACACTACTAAGGGCATAGCAGCCCACTAAACGACTGAATTTAAATTAAAACTACAATGAAATTATAAAATTTAACGAAAATAATCACAAATTAGCGAAATATATTGCAAAATGTAGCTTATATTAAATCTCCACTCGATTGACCTATCGGCGAACTGACGTATATTAAAGTATACCTAAGGTTGGCAAGGGGTTTCAACTGATTGAACTACACACAAGAAATATATCGGTAATATTTTAAAAAATAGAAAGAAACTAGCTCTAAAAACAACATAAATATAAACAAGGATAATTTTACTAACCTGTCTGTAACTTTTTTTGTCAAAGTACAGCTTTAAATGTTGATAAATTTACGAAAGTTTACGGTGTTTTTTCGATATTTTTCTCTGTGACTATGCGGGATGCTCGCATCCTGCTACTGGACAAATTTTTCAAAATAAAACTCTGCTGTTCATTGGCTGTAGCAAGTTTCGTCGTCAGCGATTTCGTTCGTTACTTACGACGAAACTTGCTACAGCCAATGAACAGTCGCCATAGAAACACGAAATCTGTCTTAAGGCGGTTTTCCACGAGGCGAAATTTTTCGACCGAATCGAAATTTCTCTTTGTTTCATGAGCTCTCGAGCAGAACTAATTGTAAAAAGACAAAGAGAAATTTCGTTTCGGTCGAAAAATTCCGCCTCGTGGAATCAGGCCTTTAAGGTAGCGTCAGTTCGACGGGAATTTTAAACTTATTTCGCAACATATTGGGAAAATTGACAACATATATCACTTTCGAGAGTGTAGTTTGTTCTATTAAAATATTTAAAAAACAATTTCACTGCGACAAAAGCTTGAAAAGCTCAAAATAATACCTAGCTACTTCGCCACTCATATAAATTGCTTGCGCCATTGTTTACGTGTCACGTGACCAACCAGTTGATGCGGCCGACCACCGTGTTTTCCATGAAATTGCTTTTTTAAGACACGTGAATGGTGTGAAACGGCTTTTTTTTTCGTTGTGAAACGTGATCCATACCCCCCTTTCCCTCCCTCACGCTAGATAGTGCATCTTGTTATATAGCTAGCGTGAACACCAAACGTGATTGACTGATTTGTGGTCACGTGACTTCAGATAAATGCAATGTTTCCCGCCGGGCAACAAGTGAAAAATTGTTGCCCGCCCCGACCGGCCACGTACATAAATAAACAAAATGGCGGCACAACTACGATAATTAGAAACTACGATTTTCCAAGTTTGTGTTCAAATAAAGAATGTAAAAGGGAAGAAAAATACAGAACAGGAAACAGGATATGCTGCCGAAACCGTTTAAGTAGGTTCTTTAATTTTAAACTCGTTTACACTATAGAGTTTTTGCCACGAAAAATAATTGTTGTATATATATGAATGTTGTTGATGTTGATTTTTGTTCGTCGCTATATAACAAAACACTTAATGTCTGTTCCCTCGGGAAATAGTTAGTTTTGTTTTCCCTCGAATCTCAATGTTTCCCTCGACTTCGTCTCGGGAAACATTGAGACTCTCGGGAAAACAAAACTAACTATTTCCCTCGGGAGCAGACATTAAGTGTATATTATTATTCTGAAATTCAAAAATTGAAGCCTTGATTGGAGACTCAGGATATTCCCATGAAATGAGAAGGCTCGTATGTTTTCTGCTTCTTAAACAGGGGACTTAAAGATTAAGATAAACCTATTCGAAATACATATTCAAACTATTCAAAGTTATTGTTGTTTTTTGAGCGTTTATTAGCGAGTGGGAATCTCCACATGGGCGCCATCTATTCAAATGAGGGTAACCGCTGGAATATTCTTGGCTTCAATTTTGTTAAAAGAGATGCGCTATCTAGTGTATAGTATAAGATATCTATGCATGACTTCAGCCCCCTCTCATTCAAAATTACATTGGCCCAGCCCCAGAAACTATTTTAAAACTTGTGATCTGCTCCCAATCCAACCAGCCCACCCTCTCTCATAAGGGAAAGTACATTTATTATGCTGAGGGGGGGGGATGAAGATGTTAAGGGAGGGGTCCGAAATATTTTCTGGCATTAAAGGGGGGGCTCTGAAAGTTCTTGATATACTGAAAGGGGGGGGGCTCTAAACTTTTCAAAGGTTTGACCCCAGCAAATTAAAGTTAAAATTTTTACATCAGTTTCAGGTAAAATTTGCGTAATAAAGTAATTATTTTTGTGAAATGATAACCATTTTTGTAAAATACAGTCAATTTACTTGCAATTTGTCTGCGAAATTTGCTTTAGAAAACGCCAGACTTCAGTCCTAGAGCTTCGAAAATGTAAAAATTTTCTGGGGGAGGACCCCAGACCCCCCTTTTCTCCCAAAACTTAGTATAAGAGTGCCAATCAATCACAAAAAGCTTTATTATAATTATTACACGTATAATCCTCTGACATCCCCCCCCACCCCAAACGTCAGATGCTTTGCTACATCCCTGATAGTTGTATTCGAAACCGATTTCAGTTTTAAGATATCCTTAGTCTGCTCTTCTAAATGGATACATGAAATCACCTATAGCTTATTTTAAATTTTTTTTGCGCCAGGTTTGTGAAGTAATTTACGCGCCAAAAAGCAAAAAAGCATATACAATTTGCAAGAATGATATGTTTTATGTTTATAGGATATTTCGTACAAACGGGATGGAAATTAAAGAAATTGAAGCATACTGGCACTTTTGCATGCATTTTTGACAGGCATGCAAAGACGTTCGCAACAGATGCCGGGAGATACGTTGGGTGGGGGCAACATACTGTAAGGTTCCAGCACTTTACCCTGATCCAGGAAATCCTGGCCACTACATGAACGTGTTCAAGACTCCGAATACGCTCAATGATGGACAACAACAACCTGTTGATAATTCCACCCCTAGAGCCAATTTAAAATGTTTTAAAGACGGTGCCATTTCATCTGGCGCTAGTGAGATGAAAGAAGCAGCAGATCGGTAGTTTTGTTGAGGAGAAGCACTTGAGTATATCAGACATCTTGAGGAACTGCAAATTGTATCTATGATAAGAGAGAATTCCGGATTGTACTCCTTCGATTCCGAATTCTAGAGGGGGGGGCATTGAAAATTTTAAAAACTTCGAGGGGGGCATCGAAATTTACCGATAACCTCAACAGGGGCCCTGTAAAAATATGAGCTTTTTCATCCCCCTCCCTCGGTGTAATAAATGTACTTTCCCTAAATGTTAAGCGGTTCCTCATAATGAACTAATTTGTGTGAGAAGACTGAGAATATGTCATGAAAGTACAAACATTACTTTTTAGAAACTACTTTACAGTGTTCTGGGAATTCAACCCGGAAACGAACAAGTACTGTGTCTTTGCAATTGTTGGCAAGACTAGATCTTTGACTATAGGTTAGGAAATTTGATTTACTGGTGTTGTACTTAAGTTGGAGGATTTTAATTTATCATCTTCAACATTGTATTTCAACAAAATTGGGGTATTTCAGAAAAGATCAACCCTCCCCCCAAAGAGGAAATTTGCACTGTCTGGTTGGGGGGTGGGGAGGGAAATTTGTTTATAGTAATTGTTAGTGTATTAGAATGTTCGAAGGGCGAAGGAGGGTTACTTCCAATTTCCTCCATGAGAGAGGTATGGATGTTTTGTGTAATGAGCCAATGTAAATTACTGTTCCGATGCATTGTTTAACATTACAATGCATATCTGTCATGGAGAAGATCTTTGCAAAGCAACGTATTCTAGTATTGAAAGATGGAAAGTGGGCTCTAACGATGTGGAATTATATTACAGACTGCATATATTTCAGAGAATGCAATTTCATTCACAGAATATAGAGACATGCACTCAGCAGCTATACAGGGTGTATAAAAAAAGCGCAATCCTCGACTGAAATGTAAATTGCTAAACAAATAATAGACGAAAACGTTAAAGTTTACATTCATTTTAAAGCGTAGCCATTCAGCTTTCTAACAGTTGGTTGTTTCTTAAATTTGACTCATTGGTTCGCGGGTAATAATACTTTACGTTATTGCGATTGGAGATTAAAAAAATTGAGATGGAATAACAAATCGTTCTCATGAAAATAACTGATTTTTTCATTAAAACAAAAAAATGTTGCATTTTATTAAATGGATTGTAACAATAAGTATAATTACGGCTTTTCTTCCACTATTTCTAACTCAGTTTGAAACTTCAAATGCGATATAATTTTGGCTTGGACCATCTAAGCTGACTGACATCAACTTGCTATAATTTCTGTTTACATTACATCGCAATTCGATGACACTCTGGCTCAGACACCAGAATGTTTTGACGATTTTTAGCATTCGTTTAGGATTTTCAAACAACCTGGTCTCTTTTAAAATACTTTTAATTTGTTCTTACGTGGTTTTCCAGATGTAGTGACGACAACATTAAAGTTTAAAGAAGAAAATTCTAACATTTAAACCAACTAAACAATAACATAGTAAACTTGCATAATTAAACAGCAACTAAAAATGATAGGTTTTACTAAATCTTTTCCTGTGCAATTATTACTAGCATTGGAGACAAGGATAATAGTTTGTTTGAAAGAGAAAAGAACAGGATTTGAAGTAAGCCTAAAAGCGTTTAACTAGAAATAGTATTTCGAAAGTTATTAAGCACAAAAGATGAATTGCGTTTATTTTGATACACCCTGTATAATCCATTTTTTTACACAGTACTAAATTCGTCCCAAACACGGACACTGTTTTTTGTTTTGTAATTTTTAGATATTTACCAAACGAAAAAATACATAATCACCCGAGGAAAACCGGGGGTGCCATTGGACAGCTAGCTGTCGATAGCAAGATCTGGTGAAAAACCTTGGCGATTACGAGTCCGGATGGTGGAAAACCGTACCCTGGGGGCAATACCAAAATCCAGAAAAGTACAAAATCTTGCAAAAAAAATGGTAATGTTTATTGACACATAATTTACAATGTGTTTACAATATAAGGATATAAAAAGCGTATATTTATTTACATCATGCATTAAATTGATTAAATATAAAATCTTACTAATTGTATCTATTTACGTCATACCTATTTGTAGATCATCTAACTAATAAAATTTTAAAGAGAGACATTCTAATCAATTAATCATTAGCAAAAAATCTCACGAAATGTTAAAAAAAAATTGTAGACCACCCGAAAATTCAGTCTACAGATTGCGCAAGACAAATATATCTCTTTTTATGAACAAATTGTTCCACATAAGGGTATATTTATCTGAACCTTGAAACCTGAAAATATTTCAGATATGTTCAAGACAAGGTGCGTGGCAAATGAATCCAATGGCCCAACATATTTTACGATAGTTTGTAGCAACTGTTGGGACACTTGGATGCATTTTGAAGATGTGATGTGTGCATTTCTATATTTAGATTTTTGGCGCATTTTGCTTTTATCGCGCGCAAGAAAATTGCAACGCGCACTCAATTTAAATTAGCATGCACTGGTTTTCATGCCCTTAATTTTACTAAGCATGCAACTAAGCGCGTTTAATTTGAATATAAATGAAAACGTTGCGCACTTTATTCTAATCAACATGCACCTTAATTTTTTTCAACTTTAGACCATATAGAGCACACGTCACTATTTGCACATGGAGTACACTCACTGACTGTACTCCGCATTACAGCAGCACGCGCGCGCCACTTATGTTAATTAGCTGCGCACAACCATGGTGTTTTATGATCCATGGTTCGACCAAGCTCATGTACGAACAATGCAAGACAACACGGAATGCAACATGGCAAACATTCTATATTGCTATTGCGACCATATATAAACTTGATCTGCAGAGTGTTTTCACGGCAGCTATGTTTGGGAACGAGTTAAAGTGCCGAAATACAAGTAAACAATGAAACCATTATTTAAAATACTTGTCCGTCAAGGCGTCAACAAAGCAACACATGAAAACACACTATTTTCCCTGGCGGTCTTTTCAACTGAAAACTTATAGTACAATTTATAAAGCGCGCGCAATACATTAGCAACCTAAAGAAACGAGCCTATTCTCCACTTTGGAGCGAGAACTGCATTTCTTATCGTTAAGCCCCTGATCCAAGATATTTTAGGCAGAAAGTGGTTTCTTTTTTGTTGTTTTTTCTGCAATGAGTATTCTTGGACTATTGTAGCTTATATTCAAAGTGGTTTCGCAGTTTTCTTTTTCTCTTTCGCAATATTTTTCTTTTTTTCCACTTTGATTTGGCTCTGTAAGTATTTTTCAGCAGGAAAACAGATTCCATTTTCCTGTTTGTTAAATACTTTACAGAAAGTTACTGGCGCAAAAGCATTACAATAATGAATTGTATAGTATACATGCCTTATAGTATACATGCAATAGAAGCAAAAGCGCCTGATTTCTAGCTGCCTAACCTTTCTAACTAGTGCATGCGCGCGCATATAACCTTTCGAAAACCTGCAAGGGAAACCCCTGAATGCGGAGTCTCGGTCATGCCCCTAGCTCAATTAACTTAACCTAGTGTGCCATCGCACCTGGTGAGCGTCCACAAACAGGGGTAAGATTAGTATGCCTTATGTTAATTGTCTTCCATGAAGTCGTTGAGCCGCCATGACAGAGAGGGGACCTAATCTCTGGTAGCGAACTGTTTTCACATAACCCGGGGCAGAAAACTAACGTTCGAAACATGCACTACGGGAGATATACATGCACTACGGGAGATGAAAGATACACCTTTCCACAACAATTTACCGCCAATTTATTATTCACTAAAGCCTAGACTATTTATCATTACAATAATTATGTCATTACAGTCCTAAGCTGATCTTTTTGTAGGTGGAAACCGTTGTACCCGGAGAGAATCCACATCTTTCAAAAAATCTTGTCCACAACGATATCCACCAATCTTCTTACGGGTACCATTTGCACCCTCTAAGCTATGGATACCATTTGCACCCAATTTAGTTATCCTACTCAAGCAAAACTATGCCAGCTTTTCAACTAACAAAATTTTGGCTACACCCATACCTATTACGCACACAAACATACAGATCATGTAATGGATTAAGGTTAAGGTTATAAGGTTATATTTAACCCCAAGCCAAAGCCCAACACATTTCATGATATTTCTATACATTTATGAACATAACATACAGATATAAACAAAAATGTTAAGTCTGGCAAGGTTTTACTTGTCTGCCTATATTCTGGATACTAGCTAGCCGCTGCGCACTGCGTTCATCCATGCACAGACACGGAGACACCTAAGCAGTACATTTACACAAAGAGAACAACATTGGCACGAACAGACCGCAAATGCCAAATGGATAGTGGGTCTCACTACGAGTTACTAGAGTGAAAAATAATATTCACTCTTTTTTACTTTATGTAGTAGGTATTTGAAGCAAATAAATTGCTCCAGGAAGTGCCAACATTTCTGATGTTGACCATCGTTTGGATTGTAACACTTACTGAAACCCACCAATAACCGAATCGAGTGCATGCAACGAACCACGTGACCGAAAGCTCATATGTTAACCTCTTTAAGATTGACTTTCGATTGCAGATGATGTCGAAATTCTGATTAACTGAGGTCAGAATTGTACCTCAATTTTTATTAGCATGCAAGCATCCGAATAAAAATCAACCTTGCGTGCAAATGTACTATCAACGACAGACCGCCAGGAATTTTAAACCGGTTAACCCAGAGACTCCACCGACCACATGCAAATTAGAGTCCTGGGTACGAATCCTACAGATATATTGCCTGTTAGCAGGCTAATTACTGCCTGATAGCAGGCTACTACTGCCTGATAACAAGCGAACAACTGCTTGATATCAGACTAAACCCTCTAACCTTGAGGCAGTCATCTCGTTGCTGTCGTGTAGCTTTCGTTGTCAAGGTACATTGGTAGGTAACCGTCGATCGCGAGGTACATCTTATCCACAAATGTTCATAATAATCCAAAAGTGTTCGTTGTAATCCATTAATGTTCACAATTATCCATAAATGTTCACAACATTTCCAATAGTACACAGTATCACAGTAATCCGTATTTATCCATTGTTATCCGCTACGACGCCCACTGGACCCTCCCATCCGACACCTCAAATGATGTTTTAGTCAGTTTTAAATTTTTTTGGTCGATATTTTTAATACAATTATAGCTAGTATCTGCGAGAAACACTACATTAACTGGTCAAAAACCATGAAATTCTTGAAAGATTAAACCTCAAAGAATGTTTATATTAAAGATATTCAAGCCAAAATCCCAAAGTCTGCATCAAAGTGATAACGGGAAAACGCTGGATAAAGCCATACAGACAAAAAGCCGGTCACAAATCAAAGTTTGGTGGTACTTCGGCTTGATCCTTCCAGGCCTACAAGCGAGCTATGCCACGAACAAAAAGCACTGATGTAAGGTTGGCCAGATCTTGCACCTGTGCTAGTTGATCATGACAATCGATCAGAGCAACTCGACTGTAGGTCGGGAAAGTCCGAGCCGAAATATCACCGAAATTTGACGAATGATCGACCACTCATCTGGCATGATTTTACCTAGCGTTTAAACCAAATACCAAAGTGAAACTTCAAAATTTCATTTCAAATATCTTTCAAATAAACAAACTCCCAGATAGAAACTTCCGAATTTCAAACGTTTCGATTTCGTTAAGAGCTTTTCACAAATACCAAGAAATGTAGAAAATTTGAATAAATTGCGAAATTAAGGAAATGTGCCACATTCAAATTTGTTTTGTGCATTTGGGCGTCTTCAGGGTGGCGTCCCACGCACTTTCGAACACGCATCACGAGAATCACGAAATGTACAACATCTTTATAAACAACGTTCGACAAAGTCTTCACAATTGGCAGATTGTCTTCTCATTCGTCACTGCCAGACTATCTACGCTGCCACAAACTGTTCGAGTATATTATTATATGCCTTCGTTACAGTCACTGGATAAATGGCAATCTCTTCCAAACTTTGCACAACCGAAATCTGACAATGAATGCTGCTCATGTGGGTTCGCAAAGGAATCGAGCTGGTGTCTGGTCGTCTCATTTGTCCTTTGCTTTCTCGTCTTTCTTGTTTTGCTTCGACTGCTAGGGGAGCGCCCCTTCAAATCTGTGCAGAGGTCTTTCTATACTGTTTGCCTTTGAAATGATCGACTTCGAGGCCGTCTAAAAAATTGGACAATTAATTTTTAGTTTCAAAACAACGAAGAGTTATTCAATGTTGTTTACACAGGATATGGTTATCCAGTTCAATATTTTAATGCGTGCATCTATGCATAAAATTAGGGCATGAACCGCGAGGACATTTCATCTCTAAATTCGGTAAAAATATTGGATGAAATTCAACTTAGACAACCTCAAGAAATTCAAAAAGCTTAGCCTTCCCTCTCAGAGAACAATTTGTACATAAACAACTAGTTTGTAAAAGCTAAAATGTTCGAAAATGATATGCCACGCCTGCATATGAAATTGAACATGCCTTATGGCTTATTGCAATTCGCTCGGTATGGACAAGAGTTTCACCAGTATTGTAACTAAACTTGACTTAGAGTGTTCGTAAGGCTACAAAGCAATGCTATAAGACGTTCTAGGTGTATTGGGGAAAACTTAGAAACGAGAAACAAACAAGAACCCTTCTTGAACGCCTTTATTAATGGACATGCTTACCAAGTGCTTCGGCATTTCGACCATGTCGGCGACTTAAATTAGTTCACTTTCTCTTCAAATTTTCGCCCTGAAATTGCAGATAAACTAAATATGAGTTAGATGAATCAAAGCTGGTGTATTTCTGAACATTACTGCTAGGAAATTAGGGAAAGACACTGAGAAAATAAAGCGACTGAGCGCTGAAACGAAGCGGCTTGAATCAGTTGAATGGGAATGAAATTGAATACGTACCACAATAAATGTAGTAGACACGTGTTTTAAAAAACAGCAATAACTTAACAAGAACAACTCAAAAACGTTTAAAAAATAGCTAAATTTAATACTGACCTTTCCCTCTGTATGGCATAACGATTTTATTTCGAAACGTTTCGTAAAAGCGAAGGTTTGCACCAACTTTGATGTGTACTTTCCTAAACTTTGAGTCCGAAATCACGCCTCAAAGCCTCGGCCCTCGAGCAGAAATATTTAAATTTGCCACGAACGCGTAAACCACACCATTGTTTGGTCTCGGTCAGATTTTTACGAGCTCTGATTGGTTTAGCTTGGAACAGCTTTGCTATCATTGGCTACTGCTAAAAGCATGCATTGGTCTGAACTCCCTTGGGGATTGAATACGGTCGCTTAGGATCTAATTATTTGAATATACAATGATATACAGTGTAACTTGTTTACGTGTTTGAAGACGGAATTTAATTATTTCAAATGATTTTGAGGTCCATTTCATTGAGGGCATTGATGGCTTTTAAGTTAGTCTGTGTTTATTGATTCATGGGTGCATGAACTATTTTATCTGCTTTTGTGACTAGTTTTGCCAATAGGCTGCAAAGCTAGGGAAGTCAGGCTATCTGGGACTGTAAAACAATTGCAATTTTCAGTCATTTTGTATTACCACTCACGTGCGTAATACAAAATGACTGAAAAACGGCAAACTTCACAAGGCTATTTTTTCCGCATTTTACATGCATTTCGCAACGAAACTTTGAAATATTACTATAAATTTTGTGATGCTCTTTCAAGCTGTGATGAAATTTTTGTTTAGGCTAGTTGAGATCAGAATTTTGGAAAAGTGGTAACCGTTTCCCTTTCGTAATACAAAAATTGAAAATACAAATACTGAATACAAATACTGAAAATTGCAAATTTCAATATATTATATATTATCCGCATTTTACAAAATTTTGGAATATTTCTAATTCTGTGATGCTCTTTGATGCTGTGATGGAATTTTGTCTAGACTTGTTGAGATCAAAATTTTGATTAATATGGGATTGGTCCATTCTCATGCAACTCATGTTCTCATTTGATCGGTGCATGGGAATTGAGAAAACTTTAGTTGAATTGTTGAATAAACACATTTCAAAATGTTTGCTGTTTTCGGAGTGCCCACTGTTTTGTATTTGATTAAAATGCTCAGTGGTTTCCGCAATTTATGGTGTAATATATTTACACTGAAAGTAAAACGAGCACGCAAGAAAAGCAATTAATTTGTAGTATTTATATTTGAAGTATAGTGATATAAGACACAAATAATACAGTATTACATTCATTCACATGCAGAATACAGGTCATAAAACTTCAGTCAGTAATGTCAGTAATATACAATTAAAATTATATAAATATAAAAAATATATCAAATCCTGGATTACCACAACATGCTCGCGGACTTGGGAACAACTTCAACAACTTCTGGGAGTTGTATAAAAAGAGATTGGATACTCATTTGATCCTCACGTTGGGTGGAAACATTGCCACTTGACTTTTCTTGCACATTTTCCATGTCTATAGTCACATTTGCACAAGAAGATTTCGGACCAGAAGTGTCTTGATTGGGTGCCTCAGAGCTTGGGTCGAATTTTGTTCTCTGCTTCGTACGAGGTGAAGTAATTGTGTGTAAGAACTTAATGAGAACAATGAAATGTGAAGAATGTTGATCAGTTGATGTATAATAATGATAAAAACATTTATTTAAACATGATAATAATATTACAGCATTGAAGGAGAGGAAGGATGTTGATCAATTGAAGAAAGAAAGAAGGTGAGGAAGGAAGGAGAGAGGTAAGAAGAACGAAAGAAGAGAGGGAGGGGTGAGGAATAAAGGAAATGATTGAGAAAAAGAAGGACGAAAAAAGGAATGAGGCAGGAAGAAGGGAGGTTTTAAAGTTAAGAAGGAAGATACGATAGGAGTAAGAAAGGAAAGAAGAAAAAGAATGAAGGAAACGAAGGGAGAAGAATGGAATGTAGGCAGTAAGGTGGGAACGAAATGTTGAAACAAAGAAAGACAATTCATTACCTGATTGCAATGTATGTCAAAATGCTGACTATAATGGTGCCAATCATTCCAATCGCCGCACCAATAACCATACCCTTCTGGAAACAAGGACTCTTGAAATCTTTAAAAAACCCAATGAAGCCAAATGCCTGTTCTTCACTGCTGCTGTTATTCGAGCTGTTTGCATTATTTTGTAGAGCTGTATATGAAAAAAGTTTTTATTATTCTCATTACCATTCTTGTTTACGCGCATTTCATCATATTCGAATGTAAATTTGCGGGCTGTAAGTATTAAATTATTATTATTATTATTGTTGTTCTTTTCGTAGCTGTTACTAGTATTGTTTTCATAATTTCATTGTCGCTGTAGTTATTGTCGTTGTTGTTGTCGATGTTGTTGTCCTTGTTGTTACTACCCTTGTTGTTGTTGTTGTTTACTTGCTGTTTTATCTTCAGCTGTTGAGTTGTTTATGTTGTGCGTTAGGTTGTTTTTGCTGTTGCGGTTCTGTTGTCGTCCTATTTTTGTTCTCATTCATTTGCTTACCAAAAGCTCGTGCCATTGGCGGGTCAATAAAAATCGCCGCCGATTTCTTTTTGTCATCATTCTTGATGATAGTTATTTCCCATGTGGACGTTTGGTTCAGAAATAAATGGACGACCACTCCGTTCACAACGCCATCTTCGCTGTTGCCTTTCAGTCTGTCAAAGTCATGCAGTTCTTTGTGGCCTGCTTTCCACTTGCTATATATGGGCAAGCCGAGGACGTCGTACTTGACTTTTCGAATCAAAATCTTGAACGATTCAACTCGCAATCCATCAGCTTCCCACTGAACTCGAGCGTGATTAACGCTTGTCCAAGTTGCTTTTATGACGAATGCATTTTGTGCTAAATAATAAAGCATTTTCAATATTGACAAGACAAGGAAAAGCACTGAAGAAATTTCGGAAAGTTGGAAGATAAAATTTGCATTTGCGCGCAATGAAAATTTGTAGCTAACAGAGAATTTAGAGAAATGGATTGTTATTCCTGCAATTTAGAAACAATAATTTAGAGAAATAAAACTGTTTTGTATTTCTGCCAGTGCGCCCCTATAGGAAACACGAAAAACAGTAATAATTTTCAAAGCATTTCTTAAAGTTACTTTTAACTCTTCTTTTCAAGGTAACAGCGTAAAAAGAGAATTGCTCATCTTACCTCGAAACTGGCACTTTTCGCCATAAAATGCGTCCTTGCAAACGCATTTGACACCCTCGAGTGTGAATATACCAATAGTTCGCACTGGGCAAGGGCTTGCAGCATCGCAGCTGCAAGAAAAAACACAAATACCAAGAAAAATCGCCAAAACGATGCGGAGTAAAAATCCGCACGCCTCCATCGTTTGACAACTCAATTAGCTTTGATGTGATTTGTGTCGTCATAATTATTGATGCCTCGTTCGGCCCAGTCCACGTGAGCTCTACGACGTGAGCCAACTAAGCAGGGTTGGTAAGTTAGATGAATAATTAGGCCAAATCGTCATTTAGTGCCGTTTAGAAAACAAAAGGACCAAGACAAAAAAAAACAAAGGCCTAGTGTGACGGTGTTTGGTCTAATTATTCAGCAAACCTATACCAACCCTGAACTAAGCCATAGACTAAGCACAGCATTTGGAGATCAGACAACCAAAACAATGATTTTCCGCTCATAAAAACATGTTACCAAAAGTTTGAAAATTTTCCTGTTCAGAATTGCCTAATTGAAATATGTAATGTCCAATAGTCCTCCCTATAATTTGGCCATGTGT